TTTAACTGGAGCGATCTGACATGCAGTTCTCCTTCATTCAACATGCTATGCAATTCTAAGGTATTTCTACTTTTGCTTTCTTTATTCACAAGTCTTTTGTCCAGGTGCAACAGTCTCTGCTGCTTCACATCCTCCTGGTAGCATACTTCAGTTGCTTTGTGTGTAGCCTTTAGTTTGAAAGTTTGTCACTATAATTGGATAAGCGGATGCCTTTTTTTTGGTTTGCTGGGGCATTAAGGTGCATGCACATTCGTAGTCTTCTGTCACATACAGGTATATATCTGTCTCAGTGGATATAACTTAACGATTAAGTGTGGGTGTGGTGTGCAGGTGTGTGTACGCTGGTGCTGCGTCTTAGTCGGGTGGACATTAACATAATTGGTGGGGTGTGTATGTGGTGTGTTTAATCACTGGACAATTTCGCCCTCTTGGTTCCACGACCATTCAAGCGCCTCCTTGGTGCCCTCTGCTGCTGTTGCTCCTGCTCTTCCTCCCCGCGGCTCTTCCTCTCTCCTCCTCCTCCTCTTCCTCCCCCGTGCTTGTGCCTCTCCCCCTTCTCTTTCTCCTTGTTTGGCTCCACCATGATGTCACCGTGGCGACGGTGGTTGCGCGGGGGGCGGTAACCCAGTGCCCGGCAGTGCTGGCCGAGGTTTCCTGGGTGAATCAGTGCCATCACGTCCTCGTACCAGGGCTGGGTTCCTGCGCTCTGATAGGACGAGCCAGACCAGGCAGCGAGGAGGCGGTTGGCCGAGGGGCTCCAGACGGCGAGGCGGACGGTGACGGCGGTCCAGTGGTAGCCGTGCTCCTCCACCTGGCAGTGGTAGACGCCGCCGTGAGACAGCTCAGCTTGACGAATCAGGACACCTCGCTCGATCACTACCAGCTGGTCACCTGTTACCACCTACAGAGAGAGAGATAGAGAGACGGAGATTAGAGAGGAGAGAGAGAGAAAGAAAGAGAGATCAGATGAATACCGACTGAGTACTTGTGTCTATATTTGGTAGTCTGGGTAATGTCCATAAATTAGAGATGGGGGGATTGTTGATGTGTGTGTGTACCTGGTTTAGTTCAGGACTGTTCTCTCCAGCCTGTTTGTACCAGGTAACGGCAGCGTGTCTGGATCGGGGCAGACACTCCAGGTAGGTGCTGTTGCCCTCGGCAACCATCATCACCCTCTGCTCCGCCTCCACCTGCAGCCCGGCTGAATGAAATCAAGGAGATGTGACGGGTTAGACATCAGATTTATGTTCAATTTTAACTCTATTTTGTGGAGAGAATTGTTTCCATTGCTGTTGCTCTCCTCTCTTTTTTCATCAGTTTATTACTGATTTAATACTTTTGCCCATTAAAATATATTTACTTTGCATATATTTTCAGTGTGTTTCACTCATTTGTGGAGTTTTTCATTATCTGAATGTAAAGCTCCCTCATCACATATTCAATCACATACTTAATAAAAATAAAGAAAAATTGTCTTGAATGCTGTTACTTTGCATATCCTGCATTCATGTTCCATCTGTATTTATATGTGTACCAAACCTTAAACCATATACTATTCGTATATAAGACAATGAGGATAAAAATTGCATGTTCAATAGATTCAAAACATATGTATGACATTAACAGTAATATTAAGTTGTTTGTTTTAAATAGTTAAAGCTCAAGTGTTTGCCTGCCAAAGGTTACACCACGTTGACTGTGTTTATAAGAATGAACCAACACTTTACAGTAAATTAGCTCCTCACCTCCCTGTCTGACACACTGAGTTAGTGGATCTTCGTCCTCTCCTAAGTGACGAGCGTTCCTCCTGCAGAGAAAAAAACATGAAATTACAGTAAACAGTTACAACCTAGTCGCACGAAAGCCTGCAACGCTCATTACACCATGAAATGTGAAGTGTTTGATGTAACAAACAATATATTAACAGTTTTATTTGAATGAAAGTGGGACCAAACAATGTAGTTTATTGTTATAAGTTTGTGGCTCTATAGGAAAAGCCCTGGGGCGATGAAATAAAAAAGCATGAATCCACTTGGGAGCATCAATTTGCTCAGCACATTTCAAGCAAGTCTGCCTTTTGCTTATTGGATTTTGTGTGTGGAAAGTAGAAATGATGGCTAATAGTGATGATGATGGCACCACAGGAAAGGTCTGAATGTCACCAAAACATTATAATTGGCACATTTCATGGAAATATGTCCATTTGTCATACTCTGTAATGGAACCAAGTGTTGTTCGAGTGGAAAAAATGCTTAAAATTTAATCAGAAAGAATCTGAGTTCAGATGTAATGTGAGTCACATTTCAAACTATCAACAAATGTGGTTTAAATCTGATTTGAGAAGATCGATTCCATGTGTTTGTCCTTTGCTATTCAGAGTTGACAGAAAAAAATATTCAGCTTGTCAGATTAGTGTTGTTTGGATGAGCAGATCTAATTTGGTGTTCCTACCTGCGCACGGTGGGCATGTAGGGGCTGCAGGCGTGTCCATCCCAGGTGCAGTATGGATCTCTGGCCAGGCAGCACTCAGCGCAGGCCTGACCGTACAGCTCACACTGGTACAGGCCCAGCTGGGACACACCCTCCCTGGAGCCCACAAACAACCACTGCTGGAGATGGAGGAAAGGAGGGGGGGGGATGAAAGATAGAAATAGAAATGGAGTGGAAGTAGGAAAGAGAAAGACGAAGTGGGAAAGGGATAAATGAGGAAAAGCCGAGAGAGAAAGAGGGCATTCAGTTTGCTCCCGTGAAACAGAGAGACACATTGACAATCAACAGCTAAACCAGAATCATCTTCACTCTGAGTCACACATCTTACTCACAGTGCAACGATGTCAGTGCGTGTGAGTGTGTGTGTGTGCTGTGGTGGTGGTGTGTGAGAAGCATAGGTTGATGCTTGCTTATTATATCTTGGATGCTGTGTATGTCGTGTGTCTGGTTGTGTAAGTGAGGCCCTAAAACTTTTTTTTCATGAAACACAGACTATTTTATAAATGCAAGAGTATTTTGTCGGTCGTGGTGTGATGTGTGTGTAGGAATCTCTTCATTACTGCTCCTGAATGAGGTAAGGTACATAGCAACTGCGTGATGAAGCTGTCCTTTGGAGATACAAGGTGGAGAAGATAGTGATAACGTGTGATGTTGCTGAGTTGTATTGTTGTGTGCTGTGTGTGTGTGTGGGTGTGTGTGTAGGGGAAGTTGGAAGTTTGCAAGTGAGTTCTGTTTCTCTCTCTCTCTCAGCTGTTACCTTTTTCTTTGAGGGAGTGTCAATGGCTGTCACTGGTGATTTGTGCTGTGGAAAGAGGAGAAAAGAAAACTGGGAGAACTGTCGCACTCAAACAGAAATAGGATAGATAGAGATAGATAGGACTAGATAGAGATAGATAGATAGGATTAGATAGATGATGATAAGTAGTAGTGTAGATAGCTAGATGATAGATAGATAGAGAGATAGATAGGCTTAAAAAACAGGGTCAACACATAATGAATCGATTACTAAAGAAAAAATAAGGCTTTTGTTTGAAAATCTTTGGGTGAGGCTGAAAACCACAACAACAGTTTTAAATAATTCAGAGAACTGATCTCATAGTCTGGTAATCAGATATGTTTCCATATCTCATTAAAAGAGTTTCACAAAGCACATACTTTACAATAGAGAGCAGAAAAAAAAACACGGCCTGGTCATTTTCAAAGATATCTCAACCACATCAGTGAGTGTAGTTTTTCTTGCATTTTGTATTTGGGCCTCAGTGGAATTAATATTGGACTGGTTGTCTAACATGATAACTACGTGCAGCTGTAGTACTTGTGTGCTAAATGTGTTTAGAGCCTTGGTACAGATACAAGCTTTGGATGAAAGTGTTTATTACATCATGTGCAATGTGTGTAATACGCTCGCCTTTAAAGGAGCATAGTGTTTTTGCCAGTAGTATCTTCTTAAATACAAAACTCATGCATGCTTTACATTATTGCTGATAATGTCCAGAGCCATTGGTTTCCATTCATTTGCACAAGATATAAAAGGAGACAACACTGTAACTTTTAGATCAAAAAATGTTTGATATTTAAAATAAAAGGGAAATGGATGGAAACCAATGGCTGCATGAAAGGCAGCAGAAATGATTAGCTGTAATGCAAAGTACACAGTAGTCATGTTTATAACAAATGGTCTGAAACATGCAAAACCCTTGGTATGGAGATGACATTATGTTTTGTACAGGAACAGATTGTTGTACCTGAAAGACCTGCAGCTGCTCCAGAGTGACCTCCTGACTCTGACCATGTTCTCTGGGCAGATGGATGGCCTTCAGCACGAGGCCTGAGTCTGCAGAAAAAAACAGAACAAACACTTTATAGTGAAAAAACCTGCACATTGGGGTTAAAACAGCAACCTACAGGGGAAGGTCCACAGCACACACTCTACCTGTGCCGATGAATAGCACGTCGTAGGTGCCATCGACAGCCTCCACTCTGTCCACCAGCAGTTTGCTGAACTTGTAGTGAACACCCACTCTGACCAGGAGGGGGCGCTCTCCCAGAGGCAGGACATTTTCCTAAAACAGAATTTCATAATCAGAAAATGCAATAAATTACACATGAAATATTAGACAGATTTATTTTATTGAGTATTTGTTCATTCACATTCGTCACTGACGAAGGTTTTGTGTCCCTTTGATGTGGACTGTTTATGTGGCTTATTTCATTTCTCAATTTCATTTAAGAATTTGGACAAAAACAGAGAAAGGTTGCTTGACCCCACAATCAAATTAAATTAGATCTGTGTAATTTAATAATGTGAAATATCAGCTGAACCTGCAGCAGCGGGTGAGTCCTGCTGAAGAAGATGACGTCGTCAGGATACTCTCTGGTCGAGCTGTAACTTCCATAGGTACTGCTGGGACACTGAGAGGAAGAGGAAGAAATAAATATGAATGTTTGTGGCGTAATTTAACTTAAAAAAAAACTCATACTGGAATGAAATTATGGTGCCTTATTTTGTTGAATTGTCTGGCTTTGTCCCAATATAAAGAGCGTAGCTATCAACGTGTTTACTTCTGTATGACTACAAACAGTCAACTCACTAGTTCGCTAAGACGATTACCAATTGAATGAACAAAGGAGAGAGTATTAACTTACAGTTCCGGGTCTGGGGTAGGGCACCTTGCCTGTGAACTCTGCCCACTTATACTGAGGTCCCTCCTTATGCAGGAAGTTTCCCTTGAAAGCCCTAACCACGTCCTCCATTCGGTAAACGCACACTGCTGATCCATTCAGGATATCACTGAGGATAGACCAGGCAGAAAGAAGGAGAACTGTCATTCATCACAGTCAGACTCAAATGATCTTTCCATCCGTTATTCCTCCAGCGTGCATGAATAAAAACATAATCTGAGTGTGTCTTTGATGATTTCACTTGATGAGTTGCAATAGTCTTAAAGCAGTAAATTAAGTAAGAAAGTGATGTACTGCATGAAGAGCTGTAAGTCATTGTGGCTTTTCAGCTTGAACGCATCAATTCACTGAATGTACTCCAAACCAAAGTTCAGCCTGGATGAATGCGCTGCTTTCAGCACGCCAGTCCCGACCGCAACACATCCCATCCACTGTAGTTAAGATCATGGTTAGGATTTTGGCTGAGTGTATGTGAGTTAAAGATTCCAGAGTATAATGGGCAGAGTTGCAAGAAAACACTGTGTTGTGATGTATCATGGTGGTTTCCTTCAGCTTGCATCTCTGACACATACAGTATGTTTAGTCTAATCTGTCTCTGGATGGAAGCTCTATTTTCTCTCTCAGTTGGTACAGAGTCCCTTTGTGTGACTCAATGGCACTTTTATTCAACCTGAGCATAAAACCGCACCGCTAAAGAATCATCCTTCCTTAGCTTGCGAGGCAGCTGAATTTGCGATATCACAAATTAAAGAGATCATACAAGAATCAATTTCAGCAGACTTCTATGAAGCAGAATCCAGATCAATGGTTTTTATAATTTGAAGAAAATTATAATTAAAATATAAATAGGTCAATTCCAAAATCCAATGAAAAAAGGTTTGTTATACAATACATACATATACCAGTGGGTCCAAATTTTTATGGTTTAACTAAAAAAAAAGCAAATTCAGCGAGTTTGCTTGAATGGTCAGGGTCTCCAGCAAAAGGAGGAATAGAATATTACATTTATCACAATTTTTGGAAGACGGGAACAACAAGGGAGAAATGGGGTTGGCTGTTTTCTGTAATTTATTGAGATCCTAGTTTGATCAGTGTTGACTAGGAAGACTTTCTTATCAATGTATCAGTTGGTTTCCCCCTGATCTATTATCTTCAAAATACTTCACAAGACAAAAGTCATGCTAGCGGTTCTGTGAGGCTCCACAGCAGTTTAAAATGCTAATGTCAGCATGCCAACATTCTCACAAAACACTGACTTTCATAGAGCCTCATTTCATAGAGAATCATTTTGCATAAGAAATCAAAATTAATTAATTATTTAAAACAAATTATTATTATGGGCCGATAATTTATCGGCTGTCATCCAATTAGTGGGGTAATTTATAATGATACACATTTACTATTATTGGTCAGTCATTTATCAGCCCTGATCATTATTGTGCAACCCTACGTATTTTCTAGTTCCAATTTTACCAATCTCAAAATGAATCAGAAAACAGCTGAAAACTGCAGCAACATGTTTCATTTTGTTGTAGAAATATTATCACTAGTGTCTGGCATCTGAGATAACGTGTGACACGCAAGAATCCACACATGTGGACAGAAGGAGCTTAAACTATTCCAAAGAAATTCCTGCCATAACCCTCGTCAGACTAACCAGAGTAAATTCATCACATTTTGTAATTATTTGACCAATTATGTCTGCGATCTTAGATGAAATGCCCAGACAAACAAATAAAGGAAGGTATAAATGAATGAATAAGCAAATAAGTTACCAAGTGAACATAAATATGAATGATAGTGTGAATTAATGAAACTAACGAGCAAAACAACTAATGAATAAACAACAGTTAAATTAAATTCCAATTAAATTAAGAAATAATCAAATGGAAAACAAATAACCGAGGACACATCCTCAGCGTACGCTCTTGACTTCATCACAGGGCACAAAAACGTCTGTGTGTGCGATCATGAGTGTAGCAGGGAGAGAAGTTTCCATTCAGATGAAATGACCTTTCTGCACTCTGCAGTTCTGTGGTTGGGACCCCACCCTGGGTGATGCCTTGGATTTCTATCCATTCCCCGCTGAGATTCCAGACACTTTCCAAAACCCAAAAACAGACCAACTCCCTGCTCCGCCACGCCAAATGTTGTCATACTTCTGCTGCTACTGTAGAGCTCTGGCGTCTGCCTCAGGAACTGGGCTATTCCCAGAACATGTGGTGCCGTCAGTACGTTTGGAGAAAATTAGAAACTGCAGGCTTTTTTAGATTTTAACTCACTTGCTCATTTGTTCTGGCTTTTCCTCAATTTATTTTTCCCCTCATTTTTTCCCTGCCAGTGCTTCCTTTTCAGTCTGAGTATTGTATTTGTTCACCTGTTATCTGTCTTTCAGAGAGGCAGTCTTAATGAGAGCCTGTCTCCCTGAATATCAGTCTTTTTCCTATCCATCTGTCAGTCTTTAAGTGTCTGTCTGCCTTCTGTCGTATTTTCTTCCAGAAAGAGCAGAAAAAAATGTTTTTCTCTCCCTCTCTGTTATTACCTTCTCTTACCAAGATGCGAGCAAATTACTATTTTGCAGAAACTAACAGAAAGCATATTGGTCTATGGGCTCTAATCAAACCCATCTCAGCGCTGCTTCATATTTTCCATGTTTTGTAATGGCTTTTAATAAAGTTTAACATGAAAATTGTATTTGTCTTCATGTTCTATTTATTTTTTCTCAATTTCTCAAAACCTCAGAGTTTGTTTATAGTCTCTTTAAAGACATCTCAATGATTAAAAAGAAAATACATGGAAAACAGGGAATCCAGGCAATAGAAAGACTTCACAGCTACAGTAGCTTCTGACTGAATGTTGCCATATTTCCATAAACCATCATGTTGAGGAGTGTCTGTGTTTTTGTGTGAGGAAAATATGATATAAACTCTAGCCTCTCCCTTCCTACGCATACACACACATGCTAGTGACTGTGTCACAGTCCGAGCACCACTGATGATGACAATGAAATGATGAAATGATGATGAAGGGTCATATGAGCCCCATTTTGTTAACATGAATGAATGTGTTTCATTCATGAGTCACAGTGTGATGCTGGACGAAGGACCCTGCCCTGCGGCCTCTGTGACGCTTCACATTACAGTGTGACACATTACAGTGTGACATAGAGCAAATAAATGTAATGTAATTCACATCATGTCACAGATCGGCTGTGTTTGAATCCCATCACTACGAAACATAATACAGGACAATGTGGTAGCTGATTGGTTCAGTGTTTGAAGACCAAATTAAATGTAGCTATTTTACACCTGTTTCATATGTAATTCACAAACGCTGTTTCTATATATTGTATATAAACTATTACTTTCTCAATGTCTGTCTGTCAAAATGGCATGTTTACTTTTAAATGAATGATCCGTCTTTCTGTTAACTAACTAAACTACTAAACTAAACTAAAACCTCACAATTGCCTCCACTGTCACTACACGTGTAGTTTAATTTACTGCTGTGATATTACATGGTTTTTAGATATTGCATTTCCTTTAAACTTTTAAACACTTAAAGGTCCACAGAAGAACGAATTGTGCAAAGTTTGATTTTATTTAAAAGTGAATTAGTAACAAAAAATCTTTTTCGTCTTTTTCATTTGTTTATTTTTTGTTAATCATGACTCTTTATTTTCAGGAAATCATATTCAGAATAATTCATGTAGTATAAATGTTCATCACATTTACATCTTTAAGGCTCCTAGTAGCTCATCTGAAACTGTTGGGGGTTAAGTACTCTACTTTGTAATTCTTTTTTTGCTGTACTGTAATGTAATGTAGAACAGAGCAGCGGAGGGAGATGTCGGGACAAGAAATGGAGTCAGGAGCAGGAGTCGGAGTGCGAACTTGGAAAGTAATTCAATGTGCTTGACGTTTGACGGGGAGTTGCTGGAAAAAGTGAATCTTGACTATGTGTGATACAAGGTGAGGCCATATGAAAGATGTTTCCACTGTCAGGAGTATGGACTGCAGCATGTAGAGGAGTCAGAAGATGTGGAACATACACTGAAGCTGCTTAAGAGAGCGGCGACAGTGAAATGGTGTTACTGCAAAGTGAACAGGAGCAGAAAAAGAATGGAGCTGACCAGAATATCTGCATGGACAAAAAAAATATTTTTGGCACTCATTGCCATGGTCATAAATTGTGCTTTTGAGAATCAGAAAGGATTAAAATGGTGCTGGACGCTGCTAGGAGTGTTCTTGGATGCTGAAGACATACTGAGGGAAGGATCTGCACTATTTCAGACTAGCTCTTGGTTATAAAATGGACAATGTCATGAATGGAATCACTTTGGGTGGATGCTGTAAATAACTTGCAGTGTAAAACTGTTAAAATCCAGTAGTTTGTGGTAAGGCGACGCTTACGGATGCCAACCGCCATAAAACTCCACATAAGAAGCAGAAGAAGCAGAAGAAGAAGAGCTGCTAAGCCTATATATGCAGGGCTTGTTAATCAATACCAATGACTTAATTCATTTTTTTCACTATGAACAATCTCTGTAGGAAAGAAAACTCCACCCAGTGGAAATTCAAGACACTCCCAGGGCCTCCCACCCTGCACCATACTGGCATTTTCACAGTTTACAAAGTACCATTTATAGCCACTACAGTATTTTCCCATCCCATTCTCTGCTTTACAGAGGTACATACCTTGAAGTGGTAAACAGGCCGTAGATGAGAGGGTTCTTCTTGTCTTTCCCATGGAGGATAAAGATGTCCTCTGGATTGAGAAAACAAGGAAAAGGAGAGAGAGATGAGGAAAAGGAGAAGAAGGAGACAAAGAGGTAAAACACGAGTTGAGCCAGAGTAAAAAATCATATCAGTGTCTGAACTACTCGAGAAGTTTTGATTAGTGTTGCACAGGTTTGTGTAAACTGTATGTGTGTATGTCTGTGTGCATCAATCAGTCTGACTGTGTGACTAATAGCATCGGGCATGCTGGCAGCATGGCTGACTGGCTGCTTGTAATGAAACTGTAGCCATTAATAACCAGCCACAGTGGGAGAGCTGAGCGCCGGGTCCGCCACAGGAGAACAACACCTGCTGTCACGCTCACACTAACACCACACCTCAGTCTTCACTCCTCATTTCAAACACAGCGGATCACAACATATGATACATCTTTCTCACGTCGGTGTTGTGCTGACTACCGTCCCTCACGCAGCGCAATCAGGTGGAGTGTGGATTTTAGCCCTCTCCATCTGTCTGCCTTATAAACCTGATATCTCAGACACCACTGGTTCCAAACGCTGGAGTTGAAGAAATTATGGATTTTGAAATGGTGTTGTAGCAGTTAAGAAATCATACTGATTGGCCTTAGATATATCAAACACAAACTGTTTGATGTTTGCATCGTAGCTTTTAAAATAAATGACAAACTTGGTACAATAGCAACATCCTGGACCTGGTCAGAGTCAATCAACTACAGCTCTGGCCAAAGCGAATTGACTCAAAACCATCACACAAAGCTAGTCCATCAAAATGAAACATGTTTTTGTTAATGTTGGTAGACTCACTCCTAATCACTGTAATTTTAAAATGCCAGATTACAGTGGAAATGAAGCATGTCATAAATAGATGAAAATATTAATGAACACACTGACAGAAAAACAAACAAACAGATGGCGGGAGTCAGGAGACCAAGACTGTCTCTAATTTACAAACTCACAAACAAACAAAATGAATTAATGTTTGAACATATGTAACTGAGAGAAAGCTCCACAGTCTGGTGCAGCATTCCTGATTCCTTTCATTGCAGTCCAGTTGACACAGTCATAAAGTCATCCTCACAAATCCCGCTGATTGGTCGAATCACAGCACACGTCCACATTTTATACTTCTAACTCTCCAACTCTGAGCTGAGTTCTTATGTTTAAAAACAGCACTGATGAACGGTGTTGAAATGTTCATCACAGTTAATCAGACTTCCAGTGTTGCTCATCGTTGTATAATTCAGTTGTCTACTGTCACAGCACAGGCGAGGACTATATTTTCACAGTTTATTTAAATAACAATAAATCAAAGGTTTTTTTGTTTTGCGACCTTTGTCTCAGATAAGAGTTGGGAATGTTTTTTATCATCATATCACATCAGTAGAGAACAGAGCCCTTTGTTTCGTGTGCGGCATGCTGCGATAATCTATAAATACATGACTCGGCTCCCAGCGTACGGTGGGACAAAAGTCTGAGAAACTCTTTAAAAAGGCTTTACTCGGAAAGTACTCAGGTTGATGTTGACATACAAAAAGTTTGCAGCAATAAAGGTTGGAAAAGGATGTTTTGGATGAGCTCTACGTGTCGCTGCCTTTATTCTACTCTCCTCTCATTTCTTCTTCCCACGATGAGGCAGAGATGTTGTTGCGGTATCAGAGACAGCGAAGCGTATCACTGTTCCCACATTCCCGTCGTTCCTGCTGCTTCAGGTGGCCTCCGTGGAACTACAGCCCTGCAGGAAGTCTAATCTCATCTCATCACACACACACACACACACACACACACACACACACAAAGTCACACAAACGCTTGCCACACGCAGTGACAGATTCTGAAGCACATACACGTCTAACAAAGAGAAATAAAGTATGTCCACATGCATGCGCCTACACACACCTACACACACACACAAATGTATAACTGCAGGGACCAAAGCATACACATGAACACACACACACACTGTATAGACACACACAATGAGTAAGCCCCTCAGGGCAGAGCAGAGAGGACTGTGGGTAGTCTGCAGCCTGCAGCGTACACATTGCTCACTCCCTTATTTAATATATCACTCCTTCATTATTAAGTTTTTTTAGTGCTTCCTTTTTTTCCCTCTTCCTGCTTTTAAATTTACAATGCAGATGTCTCATTTGAGCTCTTACTTCTGTTTCTGTCCTCTATCGCTCCTTACCATATTTTACTCATACAGTATATCATCCCTCCATCTTTTTTTTTCCACCTCCTGTCCACTTTTCTTATCACATCTAGCTAGTTTTCTTTTCTGCTCACATCATCCAAAGAATGCCCCTCTCTCTTCAGCTCCTTTCATTAATCAAAACCTTTATCATCTCTCCATTTTCTTTTTTCTCTCCCCTTCTACGTGCCTCAAAGTTTTTTTTTAATGTCAGTTTTACTTTATTACTCTGGATGATATATGTGCTGTTGGGTGAACTCTTTCATCCAACGCAGTTCAAAGTTTTTTTCCAAGGAAGGGATGAGCCAGAGTCAAAAGAAGGGCATCAGAAGATTTACATCTCAACCTGTACAGCTGAGTTTTATGGCAGCCTGGTGGAAGCCATTTCAGTACAGATAAAGGATAGACTCCCTTTAAACCTGGTCGGAACATGTTTAGCAGGTGATCGGATTGTGATCAGATAAATAGTTAGAATTCATATGTAAGTGTACCCAAATAGGCAATAAACCTCTAATCATCCAGCCCACATCCAGAGAGGTGGTCAGAGCCATATATGGCCTCGTCGCCGCCTGCAGGACGCATGTTAGGGCTGTGGAATGGTAAATAAACCTTTATGTGAAGAGGTGAAGACGAAAACAAGATAGTTTATACAGATACTTGTTACAGTAAACTGGGACCTAGGCCACCTAAGACAAAGGTAAAATAAGCCCTGATTTGGTCATTTGCAGATCAAAAGACATCTAGACACACAGGTTCAAATTGGGTTAAATTTGGTTTTTAGGTCACATAAAGTTGCTTTTGTGCAGAACAACTTACAACAAAATCAACAAAACTATTAAATCAAGCCATTTTAGTGATAGCTTAAGTAACTTAACTTAACTAGGTAAAATAAGAAGCTTTAATGGTTACTCCAGAACAGACACAAAAGTCGTGGCACACTGTCTTGTCTAAGGATGCTAATCTACTCACAGTGATAACGCTGATGTTTGGCACATATAATGTTTACCATGTTAACAATCTTAGTTTGGGATTGATGGGAACGTCCTTAGTTTTTCAGTTATCTGATTATAAACCAAAGTCGTACAGAAATACTGACCTGATGAAAAGAAAATAGAACTAAATGAAACGTTAAAGGATCATCAAAGTCAATACAATTCATCCTGAGGGGGACATGAATGTCTTTTTCATGGTAATCCTTCTAGCACTTGTCGAGATATTTTGCTGGATAAGGGAAAACTTCGACCAGCTAGAGGCGCCAGATGTTTCATCCTGTGGGCACCATAATTGTCTGTACTACAATCCATTCAATAGTTTAGAAATATTTCAGTCTGGAACAAGTTGGACCAACCGACCAATCAACAGTCTTATAATACTCCAAAACCAAGTAAAAACCTGCAAACCACTTGCTGGGAAAAGAAAGAGAAATCCAATTTTACTGTGTATAACAAAGTGTTGTGTTTTAAAGCCTGTGTTAAAGGTAATATATACTCAGTTCAGTGTTGAAAAAGTACAGCCTAAAACTCTATACAAACTTTGGTGAAACACTGTAGGGAAAAACTCTGAATCCCTGCCTTCTGCTTGAAAGTTAGTCAGTCTCTCTTTCTTCTCAGCACCTCACTGTGCATTCAGCTTCATGAAAACATAGTTAAACTTTGGAAGACGCAGCCAGAACAACATTTGTCTTTTCAGACTTTGAAGAAGTCTGAAAAAGTTATTTACAGCTCAGCTTGGCAAAAATTCGCTCTTATCGCTGTGTGACAAGTTTAAATCCTGACTGATTTAGTGCCGTTCCACCTCGCTTCTACACCTCTCTCGTCTGTTTGATTTATTAAAGTGTAGTGACTTTAATGTCATTAATCTTTTACAGGGGAGGAAAAGCAAAACACACACACATTCATCACAAACACTGAGTGCAGGAAATTTGAGATCAATCAGCTTCTTCCTACAAAATCTGACCAGGTAAGAAAGGAGTGCAGATGTAATAAAACATGTAAAAGAGAGCGTTTTAATCATCTTGCAGTCATAGGAAACATCTTCATGTCTTCTTTCCCTTTGTCCCCTTTTTTAATCTTTTAACCACATCTTCTTTCTCTTTCTCTGTCAGACAGCTGGCCACCATCTTATACTAACAGTAATCCCTCGTTCTGAGCTGATTTTCTTTGTCTCCCTTTCAATCTTCTTCCCTCCTTTTCTCTCTGTCTCTTTATCTGTTCATCAGGTGCTCATCCTCCCCCGACCCCTCCCTTTCTGCTCAAATCCACCTGGACGTCCCGTGATACCTCTGGGCGTCTCTCATTCTCTTTGTTTCTCACTAATGCCGTCCCTTCCCAGTCTCTATCCCTCCCTCCCGCTATCTCTCCATCCCTCCATCTCCACGTCCATCTGTCTGTCTGGCCTATTTTTCTCCGGAGGATTGTTCTTGTGTCTTCTTCTCTAAACAAAAAGCGGCGGTGCTCCCCTGAGGCTAGATAGTCTTGTCTAGCCCGCAGACCTGCAGCAGCAGCCCCTATCTTCCTCCTCCTCCTCCTCCTCCTAATTGTCTGGCCATTGCCCCCCAGGCGAACACCACTCTCCTCCTCATTTCTTTGCTCTTCCCTCTTTCCCTCCCTCCCTGTCCAGCCACCCTGAATGCCAATATCCACCTCCTCCCTCCTCCCCCCTTTGTCATCTTCCTGACCACACTCCCTGCCTTTATTTCCTCCTCGCCATCTTACAGTCATTTGCCAATAATAGCCCTGCCTCCATCTTGTCTGGTTCTTTAACCCCTTCAGCTATTGGCCCTATTCCTTCAGCTCCACCTTTCTCTGTGGCACACCCCCCCTCCAGCCACTGCGGTTATCCCCATCTTGATGTCTCTTTCAATTTTAACATTTATGTCCAGACTGAGATATCCATTTGGAAGACCGCTTCTCTTACCAAGGTGGCAATGAATGACTTTATTTTATTTTATTTCCTTGTCTGGATGCCTTTTTGTTTACTGACCAAATCTTAATCATATTAATGAACATATTATATGTAGCATTTTGGAAGGACTCTTACATCCACATAGACAACAAATATTATCTGAAATATCTTCCTTAAATACCTTTTAAAGGCTGGGAATCCAGCCAGCAATAATATGGCACAAAACCAATCATTTACATTAAGCAGGCTATAACTTTTGAAAAGTTTCATATTCTGCTTTACAAAGTAAAATTTGTAAAAATCCATAACTTCTGCCCTCTGCCTCTCATTTTCACATTTCCACCACACCTCCTCCTTGTTGTGTATTCCTCCCTCCTCCTCCCTCCCCTCACTCTGCACCTCACTATCTGCTCCATCCTTCCCCATTAACCTCATTCCCTTCCTTCTCTCATACCCCATCAGCCCTCACACCCTTTTAGCTTCACTTCACCTCACTCATTCCCTCCATGTCCTTTGAGGAAAAATGCCCTTTGTCTGTCTGTAGTATTTCCTGGTACATGAATATCACCACCCCTTCCCTCTGGTTTTGTCCTTCTCCTCACCTTCTTTCTATCCATTGCACCATTTTTTTTATTTCACCTCCTCCATCATCAGCACTTAAGCTAATTTTCTACACTGTGGAGAATACTGCCGATTATCAGTGAGGACCTTTCTTAGATTCAAAACGTGCTCTGTTCATGCCTACCCTTCTAGATTTCTGAACTAATTGGCCATCTTATTCTTCTTTATATAGTGAAAATGTGACTTCCCTTGTGTCACTTTCATTCCACCGTTAGCTCAAGGGGAATAGGAAACCAGTGGCAGAGGGGAGGCAGTGGCAATTTCCACTTTAGAAGTCTTAAATAACTTTTAAATACCAGCCACACCTGATATATTCTCCTAATTTTTCCTTTTTAATTTCCTCCTGAGGACCATCCCTCTCCACCATCCTTTTCTTCATCACCTACCTCATCCTCTGTTTCTCACTTTCTTTTCTTTTCCTTCCCTGAAACCAAATTTATTTCCTCTACCTAATTGGCTCTTCTCCCTCTCCTTTACCACCTTTTCGTTCACAGTGTTGGAGCAATAACATTTTAACAGCAGCTTCTACTCATCTTCTTTCCTCCCTCCCTTCTATTTATCTCCTCTGTTCCCCCTTTTGATAAACTGGGCTTCCAACCAAGTATTTTCACACAAACTATGATGGATTAGAAAGGCTCAATGGAGGCGTCAAAACATGATTAATTCTGCTCAGTATCACAAAACATGTTTTCATACCGACTTTAAACAGAAAGTGTTTTTGTTGATGAGGTAATTAAGCAGTAAATAGTGGAAAAGCATTTGTCAGATTAATCTGACAGGGTTGGGCGTCCTGGTGGCTCAGTCGTGTAATATGGACTAAAACATTAGCTCCTGGTCCTGCTCTCTTTTTTGGTCTCTCTCTATTATTCTATAGTGCCGCAAAGATGGTACAATCATCACAAAGAAAGGTTCAGTTTTGGAGTAAAACAAAAGTGGTTTCGATTAAAGAATGTGGTCCATTACTTCAGAAATGTCACACGTGTGACATTTCTGAGAAGTAAGTACCATCATGTAAGTACCATCATGGTCGCAGGATCAACAGAGTGCAACAAAGGGCATTTTTTCCAAGACGAACAAGACATATGTGAACATTATCAAACATCACTGCCACTGAACAACAAGAGTGTCAATTATTTAAAAAAAAACTGATTCCACCTTTTTTTTTCATTAAAATAAAATTCCATGTGTTTTTTATACAAACATCTTCTGGTTATGCCTTTAATATTCTTCAAACAACACATATTAAGACTGATCACTGAATCAGTCAGCACAGAGAAAATGAGCTTCAATGGTACAAAAGCCTTAAAGCCAAGTCCCAGGTAAAATTATTTCATCTTAATGACCGATTTTATTTGCCAGCAAGTTGTAATCTTAAATAATTCGGTTTTCTGAAAATATATGGCTTGGTGAGATGGGTGTTTTTTGCTGTGTTGAAACACACTGAGGTTGGTTTATTTGTTGTAGCATTTCAAATTTATTTACAGGTATATTTATCACATTTGTATTTACCAACTCATTCATGGCTGTATTCGCATCCAAACAATCTGTAACCTTCTTCTTTCTCATCTTTCCTTCATCCTCAAGGCTCCCTCTTTTCTTTACACATGTTTCAATTTATCTGGCAAATCCTTTCTCTCTGGCCTTCACAGACTTTACTTCATTATACTGAGTTATTGTGAAGAGGACAGTCTTCATGTTCTTCATCTTCCCTCCACATTATATTGTATCATATTTATTCAGATGTAGCACTCGTGTCAGTACAGTCCCAGACTGCTCCAGTGACATCCTTCCAAACATAAATACTCTTTCTTTTTCCTGTATACTTTCCTGTTTTCATCTTCCTCCATCTTTTCCTTTCCAGCATTAGCGGGTGATGTAGTGAGAAGAATATGGGTGCTGTCTTATGTCTGGAACTTTTAAGACAGACAGAAATAGATGGTGAAAATGCCTGAAAATACCTCAGTGTCTCTGGTGTCATGACACTGGGTCCGGCCACAGATGGCGGTTTGTCTCCAGCTCCAAAACCTCATAACATGACTCTCCCCCCATAACAACAACAACCACAACAGGGACAACAGCAGTGAATCCTTTCCTGTGAGCGGGACTCTGAGTTATTTCAGCTTGAATAGGCAGCAGGAAAAACGTCTGTCTTCCACAAACCACTTCCATTCCACTGTTTGGTTTTTGAATAATTGTGGTTCAATGAGGCTCGACTTATATATTTCCACAACAAGTGACACTGACAACAAGAGCAAGACACACTAACAGTGAGGCTTATGGACGTGAAAGCAGCCTCTAAAACTTCAGGCACAACAACAACTGAACAATAAAATAAAAGCAATCCTTTGTCATGAGTCAGTCCATATGGCTATCACGGGCCAGATGCTCTGTTCAGAACAAAGCCAATAGTGAGTTAGTCCCAAAACTTGATCATGTCTGCAACTACAAAAATACACTTAAAGAGAGAGAGATGAATAAACTATTTACAAATCCTCCAGATTAAAAGACAAAGACAACATTATTTTTCTGTGCCTACTGTAACATATAACAGTATTGGCTTCATTATTATCGGCAGTATTTATCTACTGTATTATTTGGGCAGTTTAAGAGGGATTTGTCCCAAACGGTACTAAATCCTTTTCACCTGTGAAAACAGCAAGTGTCACAGCAGACAAGATGTGAACCCAAACACTGCTGCTTTTTGTGCCATATTTTGTGAACACACAGGCACACACTTGCACGCCTTGATACCTTTCAAGGTTTCATTTGAACTCAGTTGATTGATTTCCTTCTTGTTTTTTGTAACTCAGCACCCTCAAAATGTCAGCAAAATTCAATTACTGTAAACTTTTAACCCACATACACTCACACACGTCCAGGTGGTATCCACTGTCCTGCTGCTATGAAGGACCCGCAGACTGTCAGCGGTTTATGGGATTTGTAGTGTTTCTAGGTGGTTAAGCATGGCATAAACACAACACTGACAGCATTCTTAACCTGATGGGTTCATCTCCTGTATAAGGGTTTGTGGTTTTGTGTGTG